GTGTGTGTGTGTGTGTGTGTGTGTGTGTGTGTGTGTGTGTGTGTGTGTGTGTGTGTGTGTGTGTGTAAAAGAGAGAGACACACAGAGAGAGAGAGAGAGTATATGTGTTTCTCTTTGTGAGAGAGAGAGAGACAGTGTGTGTGTGTGAGAGAAAGAGGGAAAGAGCGAGAGTGTGTGTGTGAGAGAGAGAGTTTCATCGACAGTTAGAATAAATAAAAAGTGTCTTATATAAATATATAAAATTAAATATGTAAATATGGTTTATATATTTATTTGTGTTCCCGTTGTATTCGGTTATTTGACAGAGTGGTGGTGACCCGGGGCAGAGAGAATGGGAGACATGTTCCCTCTGTTGCCGAAATCAAAACTCATGTCCAGGGTCATTTAGGTCAAATAAAGACGCAGCAGAGGGAAAATAAAAGATTTTACTATTTAAATCCTCGAATCTAAAAACTGTCCCACTGTCCAGGGGCCCGACGTGTGAATCTTGAGGGGCCCTGCGGATGAAGTATCGCCTCTGAAGTTAATTGTGTTTTGGTTTTGAAGGGGGAATAGATTTCCTGTGTTTATTATGAGCATGGGGACGGATTTGCGTCACCGTGCAACTTGCAGGTCGAGATAAAGTTGCACAAATATTGAAGAAGGGAAGTTCTAACAGTCATTATGAAGTCTCGCCTCCCTCCTGCGCCGGAAGAAATAAGGATTTCTGCTGCATCCTAAAATACTAAAACAGCTTCTATTTCGGGGGCGAATCTTGCAAGAATATCCGCTCATTTAAGAGGAATCAGGGCGCATCAAAAACAGGATGAGTGCGGCTCATAGACGCTCCTGTGCTCAGGGTTACACGTCAGTTTTATTCGGTTATTTATTAAGTATTTCAATTTTATAACTTTGTGTGCGTCCTGTTTTTATTTTGCAGGGTTTGTGTTTCAAAGACAAATTAAACACTGCTTCAAAATTTAAATTGAATGAATGCATTAGTAGAAAACACTTTGTTTTCGGTGAGTTAATAGAAATTAAAATGTGAGTTCATGTGCATTAGGGCAGTTCAGTGCGCGTAAAAATGGGAATTTCTCTTTAAGTGATCAATCCATCTTCGCAGGATCAAAATTGCCTCCAAGTGTCCCCGGTCGTGCGTGTGTCTCTGTGCGCGCGCGCGCGTGTGTGTGTGTGTGTAGGGGTCACGCATCATCCCAACTCGCAGGGGTAATGATGTGAGCGAGTGCAGAACATCCATTGGTTCAGACAGCAACCAATCAGTGTCAGCGGAGGAACTTCAGAGCGCAGCAGCAGGGTCAGGATCTCAGAGTTGGGAGAGCGATTTTGGCACTTACGCAAAGAGGACGTCCATCTCTCCTTCTGAACACGCCACCCCTGCTTTTTTCATACATGCATGCGCTTTTATTCTCTCTTCTGACAAACAAAAAGACTTAGAGAGTGCGGGATGTACACGGCCGGGCTCAACCCGTTTTACGCGTCAAACTTCAGCCTCTGGTCCGCGTACTGCGCGGGGGGCTTCGCTGTGGATACGATCAAGAAACCATCGTTTTGCATCGCAGACATCTTGCAAGCCGGAGATGCGGAGAACATCCCGGGATCCTCGGCACTCGTGGTGCACATGGGACACCACCACCACCACCACCGTGCGCAGCAGGCTCACTCCGGCGGCTCTCCGCTGCGTCCTTCCCCGGTGGCGCCGGAGCCGTCGGTGTACGGTGCGCGGGTGAGTCCGGGGTCTCCGTACCACAGACACGGACTACAGTTGACCTCATTGTCCAGAACTGCATTTACCTCCCAACAAGCTCCACCGCCTTCCAGCAAAGACCTCAAATTCGGAATTGATCGGATATTGTCGACGGACTTTGACCCAAAGGGAAAAGAAAAGCTGTCGCTAAGAGGTGAGCAGAGAGATTTTATTACACTCAAACTTTCCAAAATAGTTATGTGGTGATTGTAGAGAGGCTGCCTGTGATGTCATCCACAGAAAACAACCACCAGGGATGTGTTTATGCCCTTAAAATACTTTTTAATGATGTGATTTAAGTAGAAAAAGTCAAAGTGTCCAAAGTTTAGAAACTGAAAGCATCAAACCAGAAGCAGCTGTTAACTTTGCACAAACTCCTCTTGATAGCACTGACAGACTTGTTCACACAGTAGTTAGAGCGCCTCATAAGCTGCACTTTAAAGAGTCCTGTGGGGAAATCCTCTCCTCTCCTGCCCCCTCCACAGAGAGGTCAGAGGTCAGGTTCAGCTCCACACAGCAGCAGTGAGAACTTTGCTCGAAAGCACTCCAGCAAGGAAACCCTGCAGGCTGATGTTAAAACCACAGTCTCCCTATAAATCTAAAGTTGCCCCATAAAGAGCAGAGTCAGTGATAGTGTGCCTGTGTGTCACTGCGATAACTGTCTCCTGACTGAAGCCCATCATCTCTCGCTCTGTGACAGATCTCACGTCCATCGTTAGCTCGAACCGTCAGTCAGGGATCCACATCCCCGTTCAGCCTCCGGCCAGCCAGTACTTCTCCTCCATAGACCCCGGGATGAGCGACGCGTCCTCCATGATGAGTTCACTAGGCAGCAGCAGCAGCAGCAGACACTCAGGCCAGCATCAGTTTCAGGACACCTTCCCAGGTAGTCCACTCATGTTTAGGACTGTTAACAGACAGGGGACCGACCTGTCCTGCTCTCATGTTGGAGGTGTGAGTGCACCTGCAGATGATGTACACCTCCGCTTTGTGGAACCCGTGTTTTTGACCTCATGTCCTCCTCGTGTCGCCTCTACAGGTCCGTACGCCGTCCTCACAAAAGACACAATGCCCCAGACGTACAAGAGGAAAAGGTCGTGGTCGAGGGCCGTGTTTTCAAACCTGCAGAGGAAAGGACTGGAGAAGAGATTTGAGATTCAGAAGTACGTCACCAAGCCGGACAGAAAGCAGCTGGCTGCGATGCTCGGCCTGACGGACGCTCAGGTAAGAAGAAACACTGACTCCTTCCTGTGGATTTAGATTTGAGGTGTAGGCCTCTGTCTTACCTGTGGATTATATGTTGCAATGATAATCAAGTTTTTAAATAAACTACATCTAATCTGCAGAAATGGTTTTGAGAGGCAGTTAAAGACGTAGCTGCAAAATGAACCTGAAAATTAATACATATCTTTATGATATGTTTATTTTTATATCTAAATGACTCTAGTTTAGGGATTTGTATGGTTTTGATGCAGTTTTATTGTTGATTGCAGTGTTGAACACGTCACGTAACAATAAAACAATAAAACAATAAAACCACAGGGCTGCAGCCAGGATGTTAGGAATAGGCCTACTGGGGTTATATGAGCCCCCCTTAACTCCTCATAGTTTCCCAGATTTTCTTATCATTTTGTATTTTATCATATTTACCAACTCTGTTTTTTATTATTATTATTATCATTTATACAATTTTACTTCTTTAATTCTGCAAGTGGTTGGTCAGGTTTAAATACCAGCCTCCACAAACACCATGTGTAAGTCAGACACAGGCAGGCTGCTTAAACTCCCACATTTCCAGGAAAATAAAGGACCTCCGTGTCTTTAATGGTGTAGCTACAGCTCTGACTGGTGAAGTGACAGCAGTGGATGTGAAGGGAAATGTTCACCTCTGTGTTTGGATCTACAGCCTCATCTCAGCGGCTACACACACACAGAGGATCGAATTTGTACAAGCAGATGCAAGATTTCATATATTCAACCAGGACAGAAATCTAAATCTAAAATTACAAATGAATAAAAAGATATAAGAGCAATTGTTCCAGGCTTTTAAAGGCATATATCATCAGGAATGGATGGTGCAACCTGATTGGCTGAGAAGCAAGGGTCAAATCTCCCCTCATCTTGGGCAATGACCCAGCAGCTCTTATACTTCTGAAAACTGTCACTTCATTTTTCCAAGAAACATGTCTCCAATAACGTCATAGCTGAAAACTGAACTTCTCACTTTTTGTTATCTCTGATTTAAATTAATATTAGGTTAGAAAAAAATATTACCCTCACTCTCAAATCATTTAACTGTTTCCTGAAGTGTTTAATACATTATTTGCACTTGTTATGCTGCTGTTCTGGCCACGTCTTCTAAGTAAAACTTTTTTTTTTTTTAAGTTAAATAAAAAATATTTACAGGCACAGTTTAGCTTTTGGTGGAAGTTTGTGTAGAGTTCTTTACTTTTTTATCGTTACTGTGCAAAATAATTTTAAATTGCAGTTTTGGAAGCATTGTGATCATTTGTTTTATTATAACTGTTTCTGGATGGAAAATAAAACAGGATTTGAGGAAATTAACTACATGGACTTGCAGCTGATTGCCACTGAGTCTGAAAGTGCACAGAACCAACGTGTGTGTGTGTCTGATGTGTGTCTGCAGGTGAAGGTGTGGTTTCAGAACAGGCGGATGAAGTGGAGACACTCCAAAGAGGCCCAGGCGCAGAAGGACAAGGAGAAGGACGAGAAGCCGGAGAAGGGCGCGTCGGAGCCGGGCAGCAGGGAGCCCAAAGAGCCGGAGGAGTCCGAGTGTGAGAGCGAGGGCCGGAGCGAGTGCGACTCGGACGAGGCCCCGGAGGAGGAAACCTCCGACGGACACTTGGACTCTTCCGAGCTCCATAAAACCAGCGTGATCATGAGCGGGGGCGCGCCGGCCTGCAGCGCACCGCCGACGGCCACAGACTCAGCGGCCTCCTCTCAGGTGCTAATATGAAGCCTGGGGTTTTTTAAGTGATGGACAAAGACATAAAGGGTTTGAATTATTATTATTATTGCGACAGAAGAACGACAGTGATGTTAAAACACATGAGGAGTCAGCTCCATAAACAAACACATCCAGGCCTGTGCGTTAAAATCCTGTGAACCAGAGGAGTCAACCTGTATTATTATTATTATTATTATTTAACGTGACTCGTTATTTTAACCCAGACACGAGGAAAAATACTCCAAATCCATTTGTTAATTCTTATTAGATGTTATCTTCATGATGTTTTATTTTCTCTGTGAGAGTAAAACCACAGATTATTTCAGTCCATCAGATTTCTGTGTCTCCTCATGTGAAAGAAAAGAAAATGTGCGGTTGTGAATTTTATTTTTTAGGTTATGAGCCACTTTGTTTCACGTTATTAATGAAATCTCAGAAGTTCACATCAGCAGTGTTCATGTACCCTGTTTGTTTTTGGTCTGGATATACAGTATATTGTGTTATTTTGTTAATAATAATTTGCACTGAAAATATTGTAAATAAAATATTTCTTACTTTGAAAATTGTAATCATTATTATTAGTATTAGTTTTATTATTATTGTTGTAAAGACAATAATGCATTTTATTTATGGCCGCCTTTCAAAACACTCAAGGGCACCTCACAAAAACAGCAAAATCAGGATATCAGTAAAAAATATTTGCAATAATAGATCCATAAAAATAGTTATAAAATCAAATATGTAAAGTTATCCCTCCTCTGTAAATTTGCAAGTTGCTCACTCATGATGATTCAGTCAATCTTTTTGCAAGGATGCTGATGCTGTTTATTTTAAGCAAGGTATTAAAATATTGACTTAAAAATGTTTTTATTTTATTTAAAAACTTTTATTTGTACTTATTTTTGCATTTAAAATGGAATTTAAAAAAACCCAGCATCCATTTAAATAAGACCCAAATTGAAAATCAAGATGTTGCATACATGACCATAAAACAAAACAAAACGACTGGTTTCATCCACAAAGGCAAATAAACACAAATCATTTGCAGATTCATAAATCCAATGGTTTTTTTTACTGCAGGACTCTGGTTTGAATCATATTTAGTTTAATATTTATATATGAACTAAAACACATCATTGATCAGTAAAAACAAAGTAAATACGATCAACAGACAAGTCGTCCTTGCCTCCATTATAAATGTCAACGTCTTCAGGCCTTTTCCCATCAGCACATTCATTTCTCCGGAGGACGCTGCAGCTCTGGCACAGAGAGTTAGAGGAGAAGAAGAAGAAGAAGGAGGTGAAGAGGGTAGTTTATAGTCTGTATACATTTGCTGGCTCCAGATAGCACAGACGACCCGGATGAGTATAATTTATGTATCCAGACAAAGATACAATCAACATCTCCTCCATTTATAGTGCTGCTCATAACCTCCCTCTCCGGTCATTTTTCCAAGCTCTGATATTCCACGTCACTTCTTCTCTTCTGAGATTATGACTAACACAGAGATCACGCCTGAGGATGCTGCAGTGTTGAAAATGTAATTTTTTTCAATCAGCCTTATCTGGACAGTCAATGGTGTCAGCTCAGAGATTACGAGATAGGAGGAATCCACTATATTCCAAATGTGCAGCACAATAAAAGCTGCTTAAGGATGTTTAATGACATGATGTCATGACACACTCCCTCCCTTTACATTAGCTCTATACGTGTGTCTGTGAGAGTAATTGTATTTTATAAGTCTTCCATAAATCTGGAATAACCCTCACTGGCTTTTCTTCAAGGCCACATTTTTCACTCTTAATTTTTTAAACTACGCTCGAGTTTTTGACTTTCAGGGTCTTAAAACAAGATCAATATTTATTCCCATGTAATCATTAAAACTGTTGAGACTTGTTTTGCGGGGTGTAAAGTATATTTGGTAGAAAATTAATCACTGACATTTCCAGAAAATTCCTCCGGTGCAGGGACAGCATAGAGATTGTGTGAGATAAGTCTGAGTGCAGTAATATATGTTAATGTGTTTGTATGTGTTTATTTAAGAGCTCCAATGACTTTGTAGAGAACTTGATGAATCATATTTGAGTTAGTCTGTCACTCTAAGCTTTTATACACCACGCCTGCCTCGGCTATTAAGAGGTTTGTTGATGGAAAAATAAGCCTGATGGAAAACAAGCTGGGAGCAGCTCTCACTGAAACACGCAGACCATTTACTTAAGTCAAAGCGGCGGCACCACACTGTAGAGAGACTCAGAGTCCTGCGTTCAAAGTGTTATTTTATGTACATAAGAAAGTAAAAGTTCTCAGTATGCAGAGCTGGTCCTGTCAGCAGGGCCGTACACAGGATTTTACAAATATCTCATCGTTCCCCTTAAAACAAAGTAAACACCAAGAGTGTG